TAAAATAATTTCGCTGAAAACATATATACATATATACAGGGTGAGTCACAAATTAGTCCCCACGATTATTCAGCCCCATCCGATGATCTGACAAGAATATGTCTTCCGTCAAAGTTAATCTCATTATTTCATCTTGACAAGAAATTGCAATTGTTTAAATTTAAAGACGAATTGATTTTCGATTAAAAAAACCATGTCGCCGTTATATTTTCTAGAACCGTTATATTTTTTATATTGACACTAGATTTACGGAGCACAGAAAACAGCTGTTTTATATTATTATAGCTAATATTTATATATATTTTATAACTAATATTATTAGTTTATAAAAGTAACAATAAGACTTTTTATTCTGATTTTGAACAAGCGTTATTGTAACATTTGCCGTAACATATAAATTGAATGAATAACTCGTAAATGTATCCTCACGATATGAACAAAGTTCAGTAAATTCCGTAAATCTGGTGTTAATAAAATTATGAAACTATTCTTGTGTACTATTTAGAATGGTAAAAGTCATCCTCGATTCTGAATTACGTAAATTTTCGCCGAAAAGTATTTAAATTATCCTCTCCCTATACAGGATCCTCCCTCGTTCTGATTTTTCTGGAATAAATCGCGATGTGTGTGTGCGCTAAAGAGGACGAGAAAATAATAAACTTCAAAACTTGACGCATGATAAAAGCGCAACAACTCCCCATTCATCGTTTTATAAGATTTTCCCGAAGCATCCTTCGCTCTTCGTTGCGAACATGCGCGAACGTTAATCCAAACGATAAAGATCCAAGTCTATTATCAATTATCACGGGTCCCGTCAAATTTTCTGCTATTTCCCACCGTTTCCGGGATTCGCCGACGACAAAGCGACGAGCACATTAGGCGCCGATAAAGAAAATTCGCGAGAGAGAAACCCAAAGTTTTCGATGCTTTTTCGCGCGGGCGACGCGCCGCGAACATCGGGGCAATCGGCAGTTTCCAGTTATCAGTGATTCAGCCGTTGAACAATTAACCGAAACGCGACCGTCGAGACGGAAACGAGTCGGCCGTGTTGCGTAATCGGCGCGCGCGCGCGCGCTGGCCGGTGATTTTAATTAAAAGCTAATTATCGCCGGATTCATAGAGTCGTCGCTTGTTAAAACGGCTGGCATGCGAACGGAAATCGGCCGGCGCGGCGCGCTCCGCACGACGAATCGCGTTATTATGAACTTGCCGGGCGACATAATTTCGCGGCGGTGCAGCGACGCGTGCACCGGCAACGTGCACTCGAGCCACGTGTGCGGGTGGCGCGTGCACCGAGCCGCGCGTTAATCGCCTGCCGGCGACGACGAGGCGCGCCCTTTGACTCGCGAAAACCACCGCGCGTCTTGGAACACGCTGCGCCGGATAGAATTCGCGGCACCGGCTTCTTGCAAACACGAGCTCGCTCTCTCGGCCCTCTGAAGCGAGCGCGAGGCTGAATTTCAGCCTCGGCGACGTCTGCTTCCGAGAAAAGGATCTTTTCTGACACCGTTTCCTGGCTTCGGACTGCCTCGAACTGCCCCGAACCGCGTTGCGAATGGATTTCGAACACGAAACATTGTCGATTTCGGTGCATTTTCGCGACGAGAGACGAGAATCTAGCGTCAACTCTTTGCACTCGAAGCGAGCACGAGGCTGAATTTCAGCCTCGGCGACGTCTGCTTCCAAGGAAAGGATCTTTTCTGACACCGTTTTCTGGCTTCGGACTGCCTCGAACTGCCCCGAACCGCGTTGCAAATGGATTTCGAACGCGAAACATTGTCGATCCTGCTGCATTTTCTCGACGGCAGACGAGGATCTAGCGTTAATCCTTTGCACTCGAAGCTATTTCAACTGTAAATATAAAATCATTTTTCTAACTTATAATATCTCTATTTTATATGACAAAATGCATTTTATGCATATGAAATTGACTCTTGGAACTCGCACAACAGTTACATTCTTAATAATTTTTTAACTTGATCAGCCCGCCAACTTCGATCTCTCCGGTGATTCGAGGAGAACTCTGGCGAACCTGATGTATTAGGTTGGAAACTATGAAACGGGCGTTGAATGATGTAAATCGCGTTTTGTTCCCATCTGGTTTCGGAGGAAGATAAGATAAAAATGGGTACAAACAGGAAAAGAATTCTACGAAATGAGTAAGAAGAATACCATTAAAATTTATAAACATAAATATCGAGCGCACATTACAATGAACACAGTCGCAGCCTGAACATAGATTAACACGTTCCGTGCCACGTGTACCATCGATGGTACACGCTTGCATGTTTACTTAGCGAACTGAACAAATTGTTTACAAGAAATTTAGAACCGAAGAATCAATTTCCACCGCAAGAATGGGCGTTGATAAGTTTTTGTTACGTTGTTATGTGTACGAGAATTAATAATTGCACGTAATACATCAAGTTTTAGTAAAATATCAAAGTGTGAAGATTCGAGTAAAAAAAGCTCGGCACGGAACGTGTTAAACAAAAACATCAGTTTCATAGTTCCAACGTAATAATTGCTCGACGGCGGAGCCAGCAGTTCGGGAGACTTTGAATCTTCCCTCCGGCGCCGATTCGCCAAATCTTCCGGCGAGCGACGACCGTAGACGTCAAGGGAGGCCGAAACAAGGAAGCATCTCGCATATTGACGCATACCTCGCGCTCGAACGACCCGTTTCCGGCGTGCGACTGACACCGAGGAATTCTTATTCCCGGTTTCCGCGCGACGAACATTCTTCCGCGGCGGCAAACGTCCCGGAAACGAGGAACATCCGTGCCAGGACGCCTCTCCTCTCTCTCTTTCTCTCGCTCTCGCTTCCTCTCTCTTGCTCTTTCTCTTTTCTCCGACGAGTGTCACCGCTGAAACGGCCTTTAACTCGCGAGGAGACATCGTCTCGTCGAAGGGTAGACAATGGCACACCGGAGGATGCCAGTGACGGGCCGCGCTTCTCGCCGAGAAATAAAATCTGACGAACGGGAAAAACAACGTCGGGGAAAAAAACGAAGACGAAACACCGTTTCGAAGAATGGCAGCGCAGACCGTCGCGAACGATCCGCTAATTGCCCCCCTGGGATTCATGGTGTTAAACATTTCGTTTCGCGTCGATCGAACCGAAGTCGAACTACAGCAATGTCTCCCTTACTGACGCTCAGATCGTCCACAAAACTGGACAATTTGGGAAGAGGAGATACGATTATCCGAGCCTTGCGGTTTATTTTTATAGTTATAAATTGTCCACAATTATAAAAACACGAGCCGCAAAGCTCGAATAATCGTATCTCCTCTTCCCGAATTGTCCATTTTAGTGGACAATCCGAGCGTCAGTAAGAGAGACATTACTGTGCAGCGATCCGCCGATCCGTCGATACCGAATTTCGATTTATGCCATTCGTTACGGTTTTATATATCTGCGAACCGACCGCCACGAGCTCGAAGAATTGAATACGATTTAATGGACGCCGTAATTGCTTCGGGGAAATAGCGCGAAGCGGAGAGGAGCCGCGCGCGCGCGCGCTCTCTCTCTCGGATAATATCTCGCGCAAATGAAGCGACCGATCGGGTTGCGTAGATCCTTGCACAAGCTTCTATTTTGATCGATCGTTTCTGAAGGATTTCAGACGGGAACGGGTTTGCTTCGACAACGGGAGACAATCGTTTACCGCGACAATTAAGTGAAAGCCGTCGGGGAATATCTGTCATAAGTCGCGTAAACGACGGTCGATGTTTACGTAAACACGTATCTTCGTAGATCCGCGTCACGATTAGACTGTCGATCTTTATGGAGAATACAAATTTTCTACACATCGATTGCGAGATGAAAGAGCCGGGCGTAATTTGATTCCTTTCTTTGATCGTTTTAACCCTTTGCACTCGAAGCCATTTTAACTGTGAATCTAAAATAATTTTTTTGATTCATGGTATTTCCATTTTACATTGCAAAGCGCATTTTATACATATACAATTGATTCTTGTGACTCGTACAATAGTTACAGTTTTAACAATTTTAAAAATCTAAACTACGGTAATATAAAAATTATCTTGGAACGTGGTATAACAATTTTAGTGGTGCCTCAGATTCACCGCTCGAGTGCAAAGGGTTAACAGTGGAACAAACGATTTAACTCTCGGCTGATGCAATGATTTTTCACAAAAATGATCGATGCACAGTAAATTCTCCCTAAACCAGTAATTTCTGCCTA